GGGCACATTTGCAGATTGGGCGAACAATGGATATGACGGTTCGACAGCATGCTGCGGCTGTGGTGGGGGCACGTCACCGACTCGTTGCCAGTACATCGAGATCCCTTCAAATACATTGGGGTATGTTCAATTGCCGTACAGTAGCAACATTCGAGCTTTGTCAATGTGGATTGCGCCGTACAAGGATGGAGGCTACCATTGGGAGTACATATTTGACGCACGTACCGGATTGGGCAATGGATATTTCTCGTTTCTCGATTGGTCATCTGGCAACGCGCATATCCAGAAGGGCAGTGATTGGAGAGATACGATATATATCAACGGAGTTGCCGCTACTACTAGCACCTTGGTTGCGAGTGTCAATAGTGCCACGACTACCTACGCACCGTGGATTCACCTGTACGTATCGTCAGACAGAACTTTCGGCGACGATATAACGGTGTTCGCCCGATACTCGCTCAATGAGAATTTGCCTGGAAAGATCCATTCTGTGCAATTGTGGCCGTCTGAGTTGTCCTCTTCTGACATTTTGGCCGCGGCTTCGGGACAGACGACATCAGTAACGCCCACGCGTTCCTTTTCCGCCGCAGACTTAAGGTTGTACAGATCGGGGACCGCGTCCCTCGTCGCCAATCAGGTCGGCACTACGCAGTGCCCGCCAAGCCCGACGCCAGCCTCGACGCCGCATTCCACGCCGAACCCGACGCACAGCCCGACGGCACACCCGACGCCGAACCCGACGCGCAGCCCGACGGCACACCCGACGCCAAACCCGACGCGTAGTCCTACGGCACACCCGACGCCAAACCCGACGCACAGTCCGACGCCACACCCGACGCCAAGCCCGACGCCGTTTCCGACGCCAAGCCCCACGGCAAGCCCAACGCCGTCTCCGACACAGTATCCAACGCCAAGCCCGACGCCAAGCCCGACGCCAAGCCCGACGCCGAGCCCGACGCCATCTCCGACGGCAAGCCCGACGGCAAGCCCGACGCTGTCTCCTACGCAGTATCCAACGCCGAGCCCGACGGCAAACCCGACGGCAAGTCCCACGCGGACTCCGACGTCTGCGCCCACCTATCCCCCGCTCGGGGACGTGCATGCATCAGGAATTTGTAGCTGCTCCAGCCCCCCCTGCGGATGTAACTGCTGGGATTGCACAGAAGCGCGTCAAGCTGCTGGATGCTGCAGTTGCGAAGGTGGGGGGAGTTGCGGATATGGCGATACAATGACTTTGTGCGACGGTTGCATGGGTTGTTGGTACAAGGGCAAATGTGGTTGCAGTACAGATTCAGTTACTTGGCCCTTCTATGATGTGTTCGGTCTCACGTGCTCGAGTGACGCAGGCAGCTACTTGTCCTACCATGCAGTGCCACCGACCTCAAGCCCGACGCCGAGCCCGACGCCAAGCCCGACACCGTTGCCACCCGGCGTCACGTTTTCTCCTACCCCGAGTCCGACGCCAAGCCCGACGCCAAGCCCCACGCCAAGCCCGACGCTATCCGAAACTCAGAAAACTTGCGGCTGCTCGAACCCACCCTGTGGTTGCAATTGTTGGGATTGCACAGCAGCGCGCAAAGCTGCTGGATGCTGCAGCTGCGACGATGGCTGTGGCTATTTCGATCTCGCAGATTCTACATGTGACGGCTGCAATGGTTGCTGGCACAGCGGCCTGTGTGGTTGCAGTACTGATTCCTCGACTTGGCTCTACTATCGGGCATTCGGCCTCTCTTGCTCCAATGAAACAGGCAGCTACCTGTCCAATCACGCAAAGATTGCTGGCGAGTACTCCGCGGAGGAATCTCTTCCAGACGGCGTGACTGCGGAGGACCTCATGAGTTCCACAACCTACGTGTCCGCCAAGAAGGTCGGTCTGGCTAATGCTCTGAACGTGTCCGTTTCCGACGTGGAGATCACGGGATTCGTCGTCACGACCCATCCCGATCGGCGCCCCGCTGCTGTCCGCCAGCTATCGCGGGACTCGCACGTCACCGTGACAACTAGCTTTACGGTGGAGATCGTCGGCAGCAAGAGCGCCGCGTCCCTAACCGCTGCGATCGTTGCGATGGCTGATATCATTGAGGCCGAGACGAACGAAGCTATGGCTGCCTCTGACTGGAGTACTGAGCCGGTCATTACTGTGGCCCCTACGCTGACGGCTCCTTCCGTGGGCGCAGCGGGTTCGACTGCGGGCGTTACCACTGCTCCCACGCCGGTTCCCGTCATCATTGGGGCCAGCATGGGCGCCGTCGCGGCCACCGGCGACCCGCATCTGCAGAACATCTTCGGCGAGCGTTTTGACCTCATGCAGGCTGGCAGGCACCTCTTGGTCCAGATCCCGAGGGGCGCGCGCACTGAGGTCTCCCTGCTGCGCGTGGAGGCGGAGGCGCAGAGGCTCGGAGCGTTGTGCGCGGACATGTACTTCCAGGAGCTGAACTTGACGGGAAAGTGGGCGGACGAGAAGCAGGCTGGCGGTCTCAGGTACCGCGCAGCAGAGGCCGTCACGGAGGATCCCAAGTGGGTGCATTTTGGGAGGGTGGACCTCAAAGTCGTGCACGGACGTACGTTGGAGGGGATCCGCTACCTGAACGTCTACGTGAAGCACTTGAACCAAGCCGGGTTCTCTGTCGGAGGTTTGTTGGGCGAGGACGACCATAGCCAGGAAGCGACCACTCCTGAAGGTTGCAGGCATCGTCGGATGAGCCTTTTGCAAAGAAAGGACGGCCCGAGCACTCTCTAGCATGGAGCCTAGCTGGGCCAGCCTGGCGTAGGGTGCGTTCCCAGTCCCTCCTGATCCTCCTGGGCGGGACAGCCTCCCTCACTGGCCTGGTGCGGAGGTGCAGGGTCAGCTCCGCCCCTTCTTCGTCTTCTTCTTCTTGATATTATTCTTCTTCTTCCTCCCTCTTCTTCTTCTTCGTCTTCTTCTTCTTCTTCGTCCCTCTTCTTCCTTCTTCTTCTTCTTCTTCGTCTTCTTCTTCTTTTTCTTCTTCCCTCTTCCTGCTCCGATCACCCTTTTTGAGCCGCACGGCCAGCTCCGCCCCCCACATTCGGCGAAATTGCATACGTCTGGCTGGGTGGGCAACTGCGCACCGATGCAATGATACTTTGAGGCCTGCCTCCCTCTCCTCGTCCCCGTCCCCTTCCTCGCCTCGCATCCCCTTTCGGTTCCTTTCCACACTCCCTTCCCTTGTCATTGTCTCCAGCTCCGAGCATCCCTTTTTGAGCTGAGCGGCGCCTGCTCGTGCCGAAACACACGTTGGCGCTCGAGGCAATCAAACAACATTAAAAAAAGAGGAACCCAAGAGGAGTCCACGAGGGCCCCAGCGGTGTACATGACTCGAGGCTGTGGTTTCATTCACCCCTTGAATTGGAACCGTCTAGGGGCCCTTCGAGATTCATGGAGGGTCCCCGAGGGCCCCCTGAGTACCCCAAGAGGGCCGAAGAAAGGGTCCGAGAGGGGCCCAAGAGGGCCTCAGCAGTGTATATGACTCGAAGCTTTGTGTTTACTCACCCCAGGCGCCCTCGTGGGGCCCTTCAAGGCCCTCCACACACACACACAAACGTACGCGCGCACGCGCGCACGCACGCAAACACGCACACAAACACGCACACACACTAACACACACTAACACACACTAACACACACACACACACACTAACACACACACTAACACACACACACACACACTAACACACACACACACACACACACACACACACACACGCGCGCGCACGTACGCCATACACTCCCGCGCGCACCCATACACGTGCACACATCGTCACATGCATACAGGCCCATGCCGACGTTCACGTGCACGCATCCACGCCACCTTCGATTGAATGTCGTGGACTGTTTGAAGCTGGTCTTCTCAGCTCTACTATGGTCGCCACTTCGTGCTTTCAAAATAGATACTGTTGCTCAAAAATAGATACTAAGTAGATACTAGTTAGACACTAATAGACACGGAAATCTTGCAACACAGCCGATGCACAACAATATTTTTAGACACTGTCCGGAATAGATACTTTTAGATATTATGACCACCGGGCCTCAGCGGGAGCACGATTATTTCTAAAAGCCTCTATTTCTAAAAAATAGATACTAATAAATACTGTGCGCACGGCGCCTCAACGGGAAGCTCCGAATTGCTAAAAGTGTACCAAAAAATTGGAGCAGCCGGATGTCTGGGGACCCTTTCCCCGGGACCAGTTTTCTCGCCCCGAGTCGTTCTTCGACGGTCCCCCCGACGTCGACCCCCAGAGGTCTGAAGCCTTTCCCCGGGGGCTCGGCTCTTCATCCTGGGCCGTTTCTTGACAGCCCCGAGGCCCGGGAAGGGCCCCCCGGAGGCCGAAGATAGCGAACAAACCTCCCGTCGTGATTTTTTCACGACGCGAGGAAGAGGAAGGCGAGGAGGAGGAGGAGGAGGAGGAGGAGGAGGAGGAGCAGGGGGAGGGGGAGGGGGAGGGGGAGGAGGCAAGCTAGGTGCGCTCGCGTCAACATCTGACATCCTACCCCTCCCTCCCATCCCTTCCCATTGCGCTACTTCATTGTCCTCTCACCGAATCGGGCGTCGCATCTGACCCTGTTACCTAAGAGGAAGACAAGGAGGACGACGGCGCGATGAGAACGAAAGCGACGACGACGAAGACGACGACGACGACGACAACGACAACGACGACGACGACGGCGGCGACGACGACGACGACGATGAGGACGACCGACGACGAAGACGACGACGACGACGCGACCGCGCCGGAGCGGCACCCGCACGAGCTCCCAGCTGCCGTTACGCGCGTCCCCCACCCGGATCTCAAATTTCTGCAGGGGTGAAAAGAGAGTAGTATTCATATTGACTAGTGGTAGAGTGGGTCCCATATGTGAGTTCTGCATGTGCAATCATATTGAGTAATGGTAGAGGTAGAAATTGCCGATCGCGACAAAGACGCAGACGACGACGGCGGCGGCGGCGAGGGAAGCGGCAGCGGGCGAGGACGGATGTTAGAGAAGAGGATGGGGGGCTGCCAGACTCGATGGTTTGCCTTCCCTGGACAATCGGCTCACACTGGGCCCGCGGACCCCTCACGGGGTCCAGTCGGAGCGGCGTGGTCCAAACGGGTCGTTCCCGAGGTCCCCGGGGCCTGGAGGAAGCATTCGGGCGCGAAAGAAAAATCTTGGAGGACATAACGACCGCGCAGCGACGACGACGACGGCGGCTGCGGCTGCGGCGGCGACGGCGAGGCGGCAGCGAGAGCGACGCCCCGAATGAATGCAGGGCGGCCAGGCGCCAAGAAGCGTCAGGCACCCGTGCCGCTGCGGAAGGCAGCGCCGACATCAGCGAACATACCGCCGCACTCATCGCCGTCGTCCGCGTGGATGGCCAAGCCCCCGTCGACCTCCCAAGACGCGTCGCTGTCATCTCCGTGGGCGCCTCCGAGGGAGGAGCCTCGGAGAGCGGCCGCGAACCCGTCCTGCTCCTCATCCGTGGCCTCAGACTCGCCGCCGCGGCCAGGTTGCTCTCCGGGGTCGCCGCCGCCAACAGGCAACCAGTCGCTCCTCCGAACCCTGCCGTAATGGTAGACGCCGGTCCTGGTCCGGAATCTGCTTGCCGCCACGTAGGCGTACCCCCTTTCGGGGGGGTACTCGTGGTCGAAGAAGAGGGCGCCATGGTGCAGGGTCAGGCCCTGGGCACGACGTATAGTCGTGGCGTACCCGTATACGCAGGGTAAGAATGTGGCCCGGCCATGCCTGATCGGGTGGACCAGGACGCGACGGCCCCCCATGAGCTTCACCGTGAAGATGCCACGCGCCGGAGACAACACGTGCTCGATGAGTCCCACCGCACCATTCACAAACCCTCTGGATTTGTCCTGATTGCGGGTCAATCTGAGAAGGACCCCCGGGACCAAGCATATCTGAACGTCGGCGACCTTCCTGTCGCCAGGCCAGGTGGCAGAGTCGGGATCTAAGCCCAAGAGGAGCAACGCCTGGTGGCAGACATCTGCGGCCCCCTGATTCGTCACGCTCAACCACACGAAAGGCTCGCCAGCAGCATCTTGCAGGCGAAGCCCAGCGGCGACGGCGTCCTGCAGGCTGCCGTCCCAGAGACGTCCAGCGAAGTGCGCGCGAATGTCCATCTTTGCGGGCTCGCGTTCCCTGCGCTTGCGCAAGAAATCCACGTGGGCGGGGTCCACGGTCCTGAAAACCGCGTCGAGGTGAATCTGATGCATGCGCCCCACCATGTCTCGCATGACGCGGCCGCCAGACACAGGCGCCAATTGTTGGAAGTCCCCAGCCAGAACGACAAAAGGGGCGTGGCTCATTTCCTTGACCGCCATGAGCAAGCACAAGCCAATTGCATCATCGATTTGGGAACACTCATCGATGAAGAACACGTCGAACTGCCTCAAATACGTGGGCGGCTGATACGTAGTGATTGCATCCTCCTCCCGAATGATGCGCAATCCGCTGTGCAGGATCTGCGCAGTGATGCGGTCAGAATCCGGGAGCCGCTCCTTAAACGTAGACACCAGGCTCCCCGTGGGCACCATGACGCACACGTTGAGACCATCGGCCGCGCAGGTGGCAGCAGCATGTAGGAGAACCTCGGTCTTGCCGGTGCCGGACGACCCGCCAAGGCAAAGCCAACGCTGACTCTTGTCGACGCCGTTGGCGTCGCACCTCTCGCCACCTGCCTTGACAGCGCGAAGAAAAGCCAGTTGCTGGTCCCCCAACGTCCGTTGATGGAGGACCCCGCCGAGGATGCCATCCCACTCGGCCTGCGCCACGGCACGCCTGTCTGGGTCGGCGTCCTGAATGTGCGCCGCCAGCAAGAATGCAGCAGAGAGCCTGTACCGTACCGTATCCTTGCAGCGTTTCCTCCTCGGGGCCAATGCCTCGTGTATTCGGGGGCGCCCGCGCCGGCCTCCAGAGGCCAGGAAAGCAACGATCGAGCAAGGTGAACACGGGAACTCCTGAAAGCATGAATGTGCGCATGGTGGTGCCAATGTTGGCCGCGCTCGGTGCTGGTGGGGCGGGGCGGAAAGGGGGAAAAGTAGGAAAGAGCAAGAAGGAAATGTGTGAGGAAGGAGGAGGGAATAATCCCGCCCGCTTACACGCACAAAGACCAACGCACCCCAAGGAGGAACAAGTCCTTCCGAGAATCCTTGAGGCACCGATGCGCCATGTCCTGGACGACGCAACGCACGAGGTAATCGAATGCTGCCGGCCTGTCGTGGAACACACGGGCGGACTCCGACTCGTCGGGCAACGGCGCGGGGATAGCAGACGTGGCGTAGGTCCCCCGATCCATGCCACCCAGGAAGACTGTCGCGCACCCGCCCGCAGAGTAACGCAGTCGTTCCAAATAGTGCATAACGCCGAGAAAGCATCCGCCAGCGCTCCGTGAACACGCAAGGGAGCAAGACCAGTGCATTTCGAACAAGTAGAAGGAACGCATGCGGCTGAGACCCCGCAGCACCGGTTCCCTGAGAGCTCCAAAAGTCTCCTTGAAACTACTGGGGCCTTCGGGGGAGGTCCGTAAGAAGTGCATCGCGTGGGCCGAGGAAGAGCCCGCGCGGGCCCAGGAAAGGCCGAAGACGGCCCAAGAGGCTTCGAAGACGCCCCGCACGCCTGACCACTGGCCCAAGAGGGCCCCATGAAGCCCGGAGGACCTCCAAGCTGGGCCCCATGAACACCCGAAGTGGTCACAGAAGCCACCCAAAAATCACTCGTGAAATCCATGACCCACAACGAATACACGGTGGCGGAATGGGCGCAAGTCCACCATATTCCGTGAACCGCAAGAGCGGCTCGGGCTCGAGGAACACAGTCTCCGAGCGGTGCGGAAACATGGTAATCGCGAGTTGGCCCAAGAAGATATCGAGCTGCTCGAAACGGAACCGGAGACCAACGGCCACCATCGGCTTGAGTGATGCGGAGCCGCACGAAGGCCGTGCCCGCACGACACCGGCTGACGTAACTGTGAATTCACGAGCCCACTGCAAGAAGCTTTGCTGCACGGCCCCGTCGTAATCCGCCACCGTGCCGCGACGCACGAGTTGGAGTGTCCTCAGGTCCAACGGTGAGTGTGCTCAGGTCCATTGCAATCGCATGTCTTCGCTCCTCGATAAATGACACGTCGACCCCCAGAGGCCACCGAATGCCGGAAGAAGCCCTGAAAGGCTGCCCGCGGGG